CGGTGTGAAGGATGCTTCAGCGCCTCTGGTTCTTCCTTAGTGCACTAACTCGTAGGCCAGGTAAGGATAAGAATGCCCTGTTGTTTTTACTCAATCTTAATCCTCATGAGGTAGCTGTTGTGGCATTGATGCTTTTCACCACGACTTCTTCATACTGTTTTTGTGTCAGTAACCCTTCTGTTATGCTTTTACTTTCCTCAAACTTGGGCAACACAACTGCAGTGTAGCCTTCGGTGGATGGCTAGAAGGGAAATAGAATACTTAATACGGTCAAACGGTAAAAAAAACCAGATAAAAAGTATGTGGATGGGATCTTACTTCCCCAGACCCTTTTACCTTCTCTTGAAGAATAGATGGCTTATGGAGAATGCTTTCATTCACTTCCATCAACCATCCTCTAACACAGCTATTTAAAGAAAAAATTGCTTTGAAGAAAAATATTACCTTCTTTGTTTCCCCAAAATTGTAGTTAAAAAGTAACTCACCTAGACATGGTGTATTCTTCTCCATCAGAGCAGTAAATCTTACACAGAGGTGCAAGTTCTGTTAGAAACTGTGCCCCCTGATAATAAAAGGGAAGAAAAAGTTAATTGATGTACATTTTCACTTTTCTTTGTGAGGCAGCCCTCAGAGTCACAATAGGATATATTCCTGGAATTAGCATTTTAAATAAAAATGACTTAAGTACAGAAAAACCATTGATTTATTCAAATACTTATATACTAAATGCCTCTATGGGCTAGGCACCACCCTAGGCTCTAGAGAAAAAAGCAGGCTAAGACAAATGTGATAATAGGTAGTTTAGTACATATTAAGAATATATTTTATCTTAACTTATTATACTTTATATTTAACTGTACATGAGAAAGCTGCACATAGCCCAGTGTAAAGATTTCAAAAGGGTAGGAAAATCTTACCAATAAGCAGTAATATAAAATTCAACATTATAGAGAATGACAGCAATATTGTACAAAGTTAGTTTCATTAAGATTCCTACCTTATTTTTATATTAGAACTTAACAGAGAAAGGAACTTCTTTATTAGGTCAATCACTAAGACTTTCTGAAGAAGGGATATTTTTCTAATTTAAAAAAATGCAATTTGAGGAATATTTGGAAAACAGAAAAGTTTTAAGTAGCAGATAAGAGTAACTTACCCATTATCCTATAACCCGCTAGCAAATACTACATTTTGACATATGTCTGTTTAAATGTTGTGGCACGGTTATACTTTCATGTACTCCACTGTATGGATACATCTGGGGAGGTTCTGACAAATATCTATTGAGTCGGCCAAAAAGTTCATTCAGGTTTTTCCCTAATGTGAAAAACCCGAGCGAACTTTTTGGCCAACCCAATACAAGGAGGCTCATGGGAAATGGATGCAAGCATGTCTGATGTGTTGCCCTTTTTTTCCCAGGAATTTTTACTGCAGTGAACATCTAAGGTCAAGATGCTGTTCTTTATGGCCTCTTTCCCACTCACAACATTATTAGACAGCATTCAGGTGTTACTGCATGCACTTCACTCCTCTGCCTGTGGGTACTTCGTTTCAAAATACTAGTCAGTGTGACTCCCCACTTTTAGGAGGAGGGGCTGGGGACTTGTCCCAGATGTTTTGTCTACCACTGGCTCTGTGTCAGAAAGAAGTGTTTTAACCCCTTTTTGTCACCTCCCATGGGAGAATAAATGATGGGCAGTGCTGAGATGTGATCAAAGCTTATCTACAGTGGGTTCCATATGCAGGTCTCTCTCTGTTCCTCAGAAGTAACAACAGTGTTACTATTTTGGACAAAGATTTATCACAGGAACATCACAAGCACTAACTGTTTTACTTGCAATTTGTAGACTTTTAAGAATGGTCTATGCTTTTTAAAGTCCACTTGCTTCTTGAGTGAGGAAAAATCAATAATTATAAGGCAGGTTATTAGGGGCCTTCAGGACTACAAAGGGGAGTATAAACAAGGGTCTTCCAGAACACTGAGGGTAATTAGCAGAAACTCTTAGTATGTACTCAGTAAATGAGGGACCTAAATCACCAACTGAAACTTTCCTATCCAGGGGGGTTTGTCAGGATAGTTTAGTATGGTAATGAGTTGTCCTTGGTGTGATACCCTCCTTTAACAATAAAATGTCCATCCTGCCTAAAGGTGTAGAGGGCAGAGGTAACATTTTCTATAACTAAATACTACGTGGAGGAGGAGGGTGTAGCTAGATGTGTATTAAATTGGCAGTGATTTAGGAATGGGAAATGATACGAAGCAAATACTGTATATTTTCTCAGATTGATTTTTTTTTCACTACCTCAGGACTTTTTTTACTTTTAAGTTCACATGTGAAAATATACGATAAAGAAGTATTGATCACCTAAATTTTATAGAATTCGAAATACTGGCTTAACAAAGCTAGAAAGGACAAAATATCTTGTTATATTGGTATTAGAGTTGTTCTTTCAAAGGCCCAGCTTCTCCATCCTTCATCCTGGAGATGATAGGGATGGTGGCCCAGAAGCTAATATGACAGATAATATACCTTCTGAAATACTTCATTTTGGGGGCCTGAGAATTTCTTTAGAGTTTACATAGTCTTAAAGTCATCTCTAACTGACAGGGAAGTAGGCTGAGCATACATTACTGGGTTCTAAGACTGGCTGGCTCTATCATTATTATGATAATAGAGGATTTAAATAGAGAAATACAGGAACATACCCGCTTAAATTTCCCAGAGACTTTGTTCTGAAGTCTGCTACAGTTGGTACTGATTTGATAGAAAATGCTTTTAATTGCTTTTCCACTTTGAAGAACTAGATGGGATCCTGCCAGTGTGATGACACATATTCTAAGAGGAGCAAAAATTGATCCTGTATTATTGCTTGGTATGATTCTTCCTCCTATAACACCGTATTCCTACTGGCACAAGAATAGCTGAGCTGACATTTGTTTAGTCAGCCTATCATTTCCCCCCATTTTCCTCTGGCTACTATTGTAGCTTAACTGAAGAAAAGAATGCAGTAATAAAAATGGAGAAAATGGGACTGAATTTCCTTCCCCCAAAGGGAAGAGTACCAGAGGTGTTTAGACAGCACTGAGGAGGAAGAGAGAAAAGTAAGGCATGCTGGTATGTACAGGATACCATCTGTGCTTCTACCCTAGCCCTCTCCATGGGCTTAGGCAATTCAGTGGTTAGGCACAGGCTGCTTACTTGAGGTAGTAGCTGACTGAGGATGTGGTCCTCCATTTGGATGTTTGGGTAACCAAGTTTATTTGTTTAGCGTAGGCACTGCAAGACTCATTCTTGTCAACCAAACTCCTAGTATAAATAATACCATCTCAGTACAGTGGAAGATAATCATTTAATGAATATTTATTCAATACAAGACCGTACCAGGCTACAATGCCAGAAAAAATTTTTTTTGATAATTTAAAATTCCCAATTTTCTTACCGGTTAGAGTGTTGTAGTATACAGTGGTCCTCACAGGGTTTTCCTTTGACATCTAGAAGAAATGAATGAGTCTGATGGCTGTTGAATCAATATTTACTACCACTGCCTAGTACTTTCTTTGGTTCATAGAGGTAGTTAATTATGAAGGTTTGACACATACAACACTGGTATCCCTTCATTACTCAAAACGATATACCTAAAGGCTTACCATAAAGTATTTAAAGATATCTGGTCCAGATGGAATCCTTCATTCGATGTTAAAATGATGATTAACTCTTTGCTCCACCTTTTTTTATCCTCACTTTAAAATGAGTACAATCATTATTTCTATTAGAAAAAAAGTGATTAGTAATGTATTCTTTATTTAAGTTAGTAGCATGTTTTGTTGGTCGATTTTAGAGAGACGAACTTATCCTGGTTCGCCCAGGACTGTCCTGATCTTAGCGCTGAAAGTAATGGATTCCGGAAAACACCTCAATCCAGGGTAAACCAGACGGTCGGTTACACTAAGTCTGGCTAATAAAACGTATGCTATTGTAAAATATTTCAATATTGTAAAAGATGAGTACACCTCATATTATTCCTAAATGAATGGGAGGAAGTTGGGTTACAGGAGGGTCCCCAACGATGCTCTCATCACTGATATTTGCTGGGTACACAAAGCTATACAACAGGATACCTACTTCTAAGTGGCAAATGTGTAATACCAGCGACTTCCTTTAAGTAAAACTGTTAGATTCTGCTTTCTAAATGACTCTACTCTAACCCACCCTCTTCTCTCCATCCCTATGCCTCTACCTTAGTTTAGACCGCTACCATTTAAATCAGTTTATGTATCGCCTCTTCTTGGAGGACTGAGCCCCTCAAATCCCTTTAGGCACTCATGGAGATTGCAACCCAGCTCCTGCCTCCCTCGGGGATCTCACCTTAGTCTACCATCTTCCCGCAAGCAACCCAACCTCATGAACTCGCACTGCGCTCGCCCTACCCAGCATGCACCCTGCTGTTTTCCACGTCTTTGCAAATGCCATTCCCTTGGCCTACAGGGGAACAGAGAGATCCAGTTCCTTCTGACGTAGGGAGGAAGCGCTGGGGAGGGCGCGTGTGGCTTATGATCTGTCATCATAGTCCCTATACTGTCAGACAAATTGGGCCCAGAGGAGACTATTATTCTCCACTTACCCGCTTTGTACCAGCGAGTGAAGTAACGATCCACAAGCGATGGCACCGCGGGCTCCGCAGCCAAGGCGGCCTCAGGGGTCTCGGGCTCGGTAGCCATGGCGACCTCAGGTGCTGCAAACCCCGCCCCCTGGGGGCCTTTACTCTTCCTCCCGCTTGCCACGGAGGAAGGTGTCTTTCCGGCGTGTAGCCCGGGACACGCGCTGTGCGCACGCCTGCTGCTCCCCTGGCTCTGCAGGCTCCACCTACCGGTGCCACTTACTGAGCTTTGGGGTCTGACGTCAAAGCGGGGTTCAAACACAATAGGCTAGTCAGTAGGATGTAGGGATAGGGGGCAGCGGCCAGCGCCGCTCCTCACAAATCTTTGCGGGGCGACGAAGAAGGCAGGCTACAGCCCCCCTGCCTCGCGGCGTCACTCCCGCGCCGCTCGGCGCGTGTCGGGGTATCTTCGCTTGCGAGTAAGTGTTTCGCCGGTCGCCCCTTCGCCCGGCTTCAGCCACTACCTGAGGGGGTCGAGCGGCCCGGCGGCTCGGAGACCCAGTGCGCGTCGCGAGAGCTCAGAAGCAGCGGACAGGGAGGCCCGTGCGCAGCCCTGGGCGGACGCACCGCTGTTTGGGGGTCCTCAGAGCGCGGCGTAGGTGAGCGTTCGAGCGACCTAGCTGGGGTGGGGGCACGGAAACGGGCCCTGTCCGCCAGAGGGTGTCCTGATGAAGGGGACCCTTTAGCGCCCAACCGCTGCCTGCTGCTGGTCTGGGAGTGAAGTGCGGCTTGACCACCTCTGCCCTCCTTGAGTCCTCTTTCTGCAGACTTGGCGCCTGCTGCACCCGCGGCCATCATTGCGCTCTGCGCGGCGCGGCAGGAGGGGGAATGACATGCTGCTCCCCCAGCTGCACACTTACCCAGTCTCCGGATTCCTTGCAGTTGCAGACCATACCGCCGAACCAAGATATGCACCAATTAAAGCGCAACAATGCATGATAGAAGGTGACGGTAGTAGAGAGAAGTTTAGGTACTGTGCTGCGAGTCCCTTCTCGCATCTGCAACTTTTCCTTGGAGATGTTGTCCCCGTGCATTTCCATGTAACGTGGTATCTTATGTGGCCCTCTCCCCCGTTAAGCTGTGACCTCTGAGGAGGCAGTGACTGTCAGTCATCTCTTGTCCAGACTAGCACTTAGCAAGTGCTCAGTCGGTATTTGATGTAGGCCACAAACCGGATCGTAGGATTACGTACTATGTAAAGGATTCAAACTGTACACTGACAGGCAGGGCAGTAACCAGTGAATAGTTTACTGTGAAAGTGTGGGCAAAAGGGAAGCAGACACACAGTTTCAGCTTGGAGGACAGAGAAAGTAGGAATGCCATGTCCCCAGAGGGGAAATTAGTTTGGTGGAGAATAGCAGGTACTTCATTTAACAGGTTGCATTTGATGTGCTTTTGAGAAATCCCTGTGGTAACAGCAGGAGGTTGAGAATGTGAGCTTAGTGTTCAGTTTAGGGAGGGTCAGGGCTAGACATTTAGATCTACTAAGCATATTAGTGATCTGTTTGGTACTTGTGGTCATGGGCATGATAATTAGCCAAGAGGTGGATGGATGAAGGAGCAAGGGAAGAAAATAGAGGCGTTGTCAGAAATTTCAGAGAGGATCCAGAATTGATCTATGGAGTGGAGAGATCTTTAGCGCATTTAAGGGCTGAGAAAGGATGATTCATTTGAGGGCAGGGGAGTTTGGAGATTGCAGATGTAAAAGAAAGGGTACTGATAAGCCAAGGTCCTGGGGGAGTTTGGAGGGTTCTCCTTTGCTGGTCTTGAAAAAGAGTAGGACACTTCTGAGAAGGTAAGGGAATAAGGATGATAGGTGTGAAATTTTAGAGAAGTTCATTTTGAGGCTGGAAGGGTTGGGGAGGAAGGAGATGAATGATGAGCTGCCCTTGTGTCACCAAGTCTAAGCTTGTACTGCTCACCACACGAGAGGCCAATAATCGAGAGACGAGTTGCTGGGGCAAGGAATAACGACTTTATTCGGAAAACCAGCAAACCAAGACGGTGGGCTCATGCCCCCAAAGAACCATCTTGCCTGAGTTAGGATTCAGGCTTCTTTTATACTAAAAGTGGAGTGAGTAAAGTCAAACATTTCCTGGTTCCCATCAGCCTCCAGAGGGTTATGTGTTAATTTCTTCCTCCCTGCAGTCATTCACAGGTGGGCCTGGTCAGGATGTTTCTTGTGAGCTAAACAAAAGTATTTTAGCTTAATGCTCATTACCTGGGAGTCAGGGTTCTGAGAGTTGGGTGATTATGTATAATTTAAGCTTATCGGCTGCATCCCTTTAGTGATTAACTTGTAATGGAATACAAAAGGTTCTTCCCTATTACACTTGGCCGGGGATTTTGAAAGCTCAGTGATTTGAAAACTCAGGTTGTTTGATATGTTTGTCAGTCAGGGTCCAGTCAGGAAAGCAGAAACCACACAATATTTCAACAGAATTTAAAACGAAGAATTGGTTAAATAGCTGCTGGAGGAACAAAGAGCAAAAGGGAGCAGTGAAGTAACTAAAAAAGTAAACTGATGGAAGAAGTTACAACACTTAGCTAGGTCTGAGGATCAAAACAAGGGAAGCCATTGGGGCTATCATGACCTAACCTTGGAGGAGAGGCATTATAAAGCTGATGTTGATAACTCTGGAATTCAGAGGAGTAGCTCCATGTTACTAGATTTCAGGCACCTGGAGGGGAGCACCTGCCTGGTTAGTGCTGGTACCTCTGGGGTGCTTGTTATCATGCTGGTCATGGGAGTGCTAGAGGCTGGGACCAAGGGCCCCTGGAAGGATGAAGGCCCATTGCTGGGGCGATATTGACTGAAACAGCAAGGTAACAGGAAAAAGGGAGTCCTCCTCAGCTCCTTCTGCCTTTGCCTTCCAAATTCTTATGCTGGGGTCCACGGACCCCAGAGCTCCACAGATTGTTGGTGAATAGAATCCAAGTTCACAGGGAGACATTTTGATGCTCTGATCATGGCAACAATAACAGCATAATTATTATTAGTTAAACCAGGATGAAATACACCTGGTCTTCTCTCGCCTGTTTTCATCTCTTGCTACTCTGTCCCGTGTTTACTCCCCTCTAGTCAGACATCCTCTCATCTCAAATCTACCCATCCTCTCAGATCTATGTCAGTGGTCATCTTTATGCTATTTCAAGATGAAAGATAATGTAATTTTTATATGCTTTCAAAAACCCAAGCTTTCTATATAGAATTAGATCTAAATAAAAAGTCTTCATGGTGTAATACAGGTTCGAATAATTTCTAGAAGTTCTTGAATATAAATGTCATGAAAGCTTACAAGACCATTGTTTGCCTTGATTCTCTTCCTCGCTTCCACCATGTGTGGGCTTGCCTTCCTCTTAACCCACATTTTATGTTGTCTCACTCATACTACACTTAACATTTTATCTGCTATGTAGTATAAGGGTTAACTCATGTTTATACTTTCATTGTCATAAGTATGAAATGCAAGATGAGAGAATTCACCTTGGATTAAGGTGACAAGAAGGCCAGTGTGGATGGTGTAATTGTCACTCCTACCATAAGTTAGGGACTTCCAATTATAGTATAAACCTTAAAGGGGTCTGGATATAAATATACAGCACGTTAACTTTTCTCTTTCCCTCTTAGATAATTTATATGTTAAAACAAGTCTGATTTTGCCAGACCAAAGTAGATTTCCTATTGATCGTTCTTTTCTCAGCTTTTCTACTGCCCTGGTGAAAATCAGGCCGGGAAAGTGGAGTAATGTGAAGTAGTTATATCTGGTTATCAAGCTCCTCGACTTGTTGGTCATCATTTTGAAGTATACTGTTGTAATTTCATAGTGTCTTCTTTTCTCCCTGAGAGCAATAAAAGCTTTCCTTTTCTTTTTTTTAAAAACAAATATTTATTTATTTATTTGGTTGTGCTGGGTCTTAGTTGTGGCACTCAGGCTACTTAGTTGCAGCAGGTGGGCTCCTTAGTTGCAGCATGCAAACTCTTACTTGTGGCATGCATGTGGGATCTAGTTCCCTGACCAGGGATCGAACCCGGGCTCCCTGCATTGGGAGTGCAGAGTCTTAACCACTACACCACCGGGGAGGTCCCATAAATGTTTTTCTTTATTTCTATGTTTGATTTCAATTTTAATTTTTTAATGAAGATATAGAGCCAGATTATAAATAAATGTAGTTGGTGGTATTAAAGTAATTTTATTTTCTTCAACTGCCAGGATATATATGTGGATTTTTATATTATTTTGTAAATCTGTCAAGTTATGAAAACATCCTCATGTGCAAAAATAAAGTGTTTTCTCATTCATTGCATTCTTCTCAACTTTCCTGCAGAATAACTGATCTTAAATCTTTTTTGAAGAGAAAACTCTGAAGTTGAGAATCTTGCCTCTTTCAAAGAGTGAGACCGTAAAATAGATTTCACAGCCTCAATTTGTAGACCATAGATTTACACAATTGACTATGTTGCTACCACTCATCTCTGTGTGGGTTCAGATTAGATCATTTATTTTTCCTTTTTTTTCTTGGTTATTCTAATTTCTCTGCTCCCTGAATCATTTTGCTTATATTGGAGTGTCATTTATTGCTACTAAGCTGTTTCTATTTCTCAGAGAAATAAAAGCTTCATCCAGAGATATTTGTATATATTTGCCACATATATACAATGGAATATTACTCAGCCATAAAAAGAAACAAAATTGAGATATCTGTAGTGAGGTGGATGGACGTAGAGTCTGTCATACAGAGTGAAGTAAGTCAGAAAGAGAAAAACAAATACCATATGTTAACACATATATATGGAATCTAAGGGAAAAAAAAGGTCATGAAGAACCTAGGGGTAAGATGGGAATAAAGACACAGACCTACTAGAGAATGGACTTGAGGATATGGGGAGGGAGAAGGGTAAGCTGTGAAAAAGTGAGAGAGTGGCATGGACATATATACACTACCAAACGTAAAATAGCTAGTGGGAAGCAGCCACATAGCACAGGAAGATCAACTCCGTGTTTTGTGACCACCTAGAGGGGTGGGATAGGGAGGGTGGGAGGGAGGGAGATGCAAGAGGGAAGAGATATGGGAACATATGTATATTTATAACTGATTTACTTTGTTATAAAGCAGAAAATGACACACCATTGTAAAGCAATTATACTCCAATAAAGATGTTTAAAAAGAGAGATATTTGTACTTTTCTTTCAGGAGTCGCTTCATCATGAGAAATCTAAAGTTATTTCGGAGCTTGGAGTTCAGGGATATTCAGGCTCCAAGGAAACCTCAGTGCTTCTCTCTCCGAACTGAACAAGACACAGTGCTCCTTGGCTCAGAACATGGACTGATAGAAGTAGACACTGTCACAAGAGAGGTAAGTTACTGATGGAGGATGCTAGCACTTGGCATGACTCTTGACTTGTCTTTTTCCAAACTTGCTTCCCCAAATACTATGTCCTTTAAATCTTTCTGAATTTATGTCCCGCCAAATGAACACTCCCTTCACTTTATACTGATGTCATATTAGGCATAACTTAACTAGTACCCTATCTTTTAGTCTGCTTCTGTTTTAATCTACGTTGGCAAAACTCTGACATTGTATTTTGTGGGGGTGCCCTACTTTTTACCCTTTCTACCATGTAAATACTATCTATTAACAGTTCTTAAGTGGGAATGCAGATGAAAATTTCCTGTAGGGCTTTTTAAACTGTTTCAGTCACCATCTCATGCCAACTAAATCAGAATCTTCACTTCTGGAGCTTGAGCTTATGTATATTTAAAAGCTCTTTAGGTTGATTCTGATATCTTCCCTTAATTATAGTTTGCTACTAATGTATTTTAGGTGATTACATTATTAGTCCCCTTTCCCCATACCGTGTCCATTTTAGGAAATCATAGTTATCAGCTTCATGTTTTATTGGATATTTTCAAAGATACCAGGCTTTTATGTTTGCGTGCCACAAAGGTCATATTAACTGTGTTTTGTGTTAAAGGTGGTAGTGTTGTGATATTTCTCAAATGAAAGTTTGGGTTTTAATCTAGGAAAAAACATTTTAGAAAGCTTTTATATTATAAAAGAAACATTAAAAAGTATTTCTGGAAGTGTTGTGAATTGTTTTTGAAAGTAGATTGACTTAATTTGCATATTTGTTTGTTTTGGTGAAAGGTGAAAAATGAAAAATGACACTCCTTTGGTGGCAGAAGTCTTTCTCCCAGAGGATGGAAGTGGCTGCACTGTTGGTATTCAGGAGTTGCTGGATCACGAGTCTGTGTGTGTGGCCACAGCCTCTGGAGATGTCCTACTTTGCAAGCTCAACACACACCAGGTAAGTGGAAGAGACCAGTGAGGAGGAAATCTTAGGCATCCTCAAATGCCTTTTTTTGTTTCATGTCACTAGTTTTTCGTAGAAGTTTAAAATGTCAGGAGCCATAATATTTAAGCATTTTGCAAGTTAAAGTCTTTGCATTATATAAGTCTTTACAGAAAATTGTTGGCATGGCTTTAGCTATATTTCAGGATTCTTCTAAAAGTCAGTTTTGTCTAGTGCATTTATTAATTAGAACAATCAGAACATTCCAAATAAGAACTTAACAAAAACTCAAACCTGGCCATTCTTGTATGGTATAGCTCACCTCTTACTAGAATCTGATCCTGAGTTGTAACCTTTATTTCTCGATTTATGAAGTCTTTGAAGTGTTTATATGGCTTATGTTTTCTTTTATGAATGCCGAGTAAGCCTCTCCTTGATGGCTAACTTTTAAGAGTCCCTGAACTACAGGTGCTAAGGTGATAATGCTATCATTATGTGCACATCTTGTAACTACCAGAGAAGATAGATTTCAACCATTTGCCTCCTTCTCTACTTAGCATAAGGCTGAGTTTCTGGATTTCTATCCTCACCTTCTTGACAGCTTTTTAAACTTTGTTGATTACTCCCTTAGTTGTGATCTCTTTAACATGGATGTATCACAAGTCATATTACTAATCATAGGACAATAATAGCAGCTGACATTTATTAAATGTTTACAATGTGCCAGGCACTTTTTCAAGTGTTTTTCACGCAAAATTGTATTTAATCTTCACTACAACCTTATGAGGTAGATTGTTGTTTTTCCATTCTTCAGAAGAGGAAATTGAGGCACAGAGGGCTTAAATGACTAGGCCAAGGTCAAACAGTTATCAGGTGGGATTTAAACCCTGGCAGTCTAACTCTGGCACCTTTGCTTTTAACGGTTCCATTTAGTCAAACAATAAATCTTGTTCTCAGTTCATGGTGATAAATATCAAAGCCATCAAGTATAACTTAATTAGTATTTCTCACATTTAAAAGGTATGCTTTTACTTTCAAAACATTTTGTAGAACTTTTTCCTAATTACTGAGCTCCTCCAATCCATTGGTCTCCACCAGATGGTGCTGATCCTCCATGCTTGTGGCATCACAGTGTCTGCAAGACAGAATCCATGTTCCTTATTGTGCCTTATAAGACCTTTCACTATCTGTTCCCCAAATTCCTTTTTAGCCTCACCTCCCACCCCCATCATTCCTGTGTGTATATATACCTTATGCTCTAGTTGCAGCTGATTTTTAACAGCTCTTTTTAACTGCACATTCCCCCCCCCGCCAGTCTCTTCCTCCTAGCCCTATTCCTACCCTTCAAAGCACCTCCTCAGAGAAGCTTTCCTGGACTCTCCGGGGCCGTTTGTCAGTCTCTGCTCTGGGCCCCCACTTAATTCCCAGAGACCTCGGTTACATCCCTAACCCTGCTGTAGAGGCATCTTTTATCTCTCTTTTATCTCCTTAACGGGAGGAATGGAGTGGCCGTAGTCACCTCCAGTCCCTATGGTCTGTATCATGCCTGGTCTTTTAATACCTGTTACTGAATAAGTGTTCACTGAATAATTTCACCTTTGTGTGTTTTGTTAATTGTTTTGATTAAGGTCATAGTAAATATTTACTGAGATGCTTATATTTTCATATCTCCCTTAACATTTTGAAATGTCTCTCTCAGCTGGAATGTGTCGGGAGTGTAGCCAGTGGTATCTCTGTCATGAGTTGGAGTCCTGACCAAGAACTGGTGCTTCTTGCCACAGGTAAGCATGTCACTGGTCCCTAATTCTTGACTTTTATAAAACATGACTCCTAATATCTCATAGGCTTAAGTTTTAGGGTGCTTAGGTTTCAAAAAAAAAAACATTTCTTGGAACAAGGATACCAGCATGATAATCTATAGGGAATGTGGTGGTTTTGAGTTTAGTTTTACTTCTTAATATATTGTTTTTAAAAGTTGCTGCTAAGGTCCATAGTTATGGTTTAAAAGTCAGCAATATTTAATCTACTCTAAGAGGAAGAGTTGCTACATAAAATAAACTGATTCTAAGAACTGCTCTCCCAGTCCTATTTTTTTCCCTTAAGTCTTTTCATTCCAGATGAGTTTCTGCAAACTAGCACCCTGATGAGGTATACATTTGAAGAGATATCTTGCTGACTAAATCGTTGAAGTTAGTGGAGGAGGGCTATGTGGACTTTAATGTTAGCTTGACATACATAAATAGCTGAGAATAAGCACTAGGTGACGTACCCAGTCAAAACTTCTTTATAAAAATGAGAGTCACGGGCTTCCCTGGTGGCGCAGTGGTTGAGAGTCCGCCTGCCAATGCAGGGGATGCGGGTTCGTGCCCCAGTTTGGGAAGATCCCACATGCCGCGGAGCGGCTGGGCCCGTGAGCCATGGCCGCTGAGCCTGCGCGTCCGGAGCCTGTGCTCCGCGGCGGGAGAGGCCACAACAGTGAGAGGCCTGCATACCGCAAAAAAAAAAAAAAAAAAAAAAAAAAAAAAAAAAAAAAAAAAAAAAATGAGAGTCAGAACATTTTGAATAAATTCTGTCTTCCCTGTTTTGACTATAAGCTCCTCCACTCCAGCTCAGTAGCTTCCAGTGCTATAGATACTTACGGAATGGCAGATTTGCTAAATGAGAACAGAATCATTCTTGTTTGTGCTCCTCCAAGGTCAACAGACCCTAATTGTGGTGACAAAAGAGTTTGAACCAATCATGGAACAGCAAATCCACCAGGATGATTTTGGTGAAAGTAAGTGTAGCTTTGTTTGAAACATTTTGTGACTTGTCTTGCACACTAATAGGCACGTCATAAGCCCAAAGAACTTAAACCCTTACTTAATTCACTGTCTGATAGCCCAATTCCTTTAGTTCATTCCAGATTTTAAAAGGCATACCTCTGGTGCCTCTCCAAGTCTCAGAGTTGGCTTGGTCAATAACTTGGGGAATAGGGATCTGTGCTTAGAATCATCTGGGTAGTTGTTGCCCAAACCCCAGGACAGGCTTAGCCGGGGTGTTTAATGGAAAGGACTGTACTAGCTAGAATAAGGAGAGCATTTCTGAGGTGCAGTTTTGGGGAGAAGACAAGAGAGGCAGGATAGAGAGCTGATTTTTGTTCCTGCTGATTAGACCTGAATTTTCATGGGAACCATCATATTGTTTTCTTGCTAAGATCTAGCTGAGGTGATATGGGCATTAGGCTGTGGAACTATTGAAGGGGAGATGCTTATTGAGTATAAGAAGCTCTGGCCAACTTGAGGGCACCAGGAAGCTGGCCTGATTGAGGAGAAGGATAGGGGAGATGGTATTTTAACTTTTGCTGAGGTCTAACCTCATGACTTCTCGTTCTACTAAGTAAGAAATCATTTAGAAAGGTGCTACTCATTTATTCATTCAAAAATAATTTGTTTGTTCAGAAATAATGTTTGAGTAGGTAGTATGAACCCAGCAGTGTGTTTGGTGCTGTGGCTAATTCATCTTTTCCCTTAAGGAGTCAATAATAACAGGATGTGCAGGAATTAGGGTAGCATAAGGAGAGAAAGGGAGTAATGGGGACGGAAGACTTCCCAGAAGAGGCCGACTTGAGCTGAGTTTTGGCTGATTTGGTGTTGGGTAAATGAGGGTTGAGGGTGGGGGAGTGGTCCAAGCAAGTGAATTAGTTCATTCCAAGGCAGGGATGTTTCATAGAAGCCTTTGACACAGCATGGCCTATTCAGGCAACTATGAGTACTTCAGCATTACCTAGTGACAGGACATGGATGTGGAATGAAATAAAGGGGAGGGATTTTGATTAAGTTTGATAGGGAATTTGGACATTAAGTTATAGGAGATCAGTCATTAAAGGTTCTGATGATGCAAGATTGATTGATTGGTGGAGAGGGAAGAGACGAGACAGGGTTATCTGGTAGGAGGTTGCTACAGGAATCCAGGTGAGAGATAAAGAAGGTAGGTGTGGGTCTAGAAAAGGGAAAAATGCAGGAAAATTTTGATTCTCAATGAGGATAGGAGTACATTTTTTGGAATTATGGGAAACTTTTTTTGAATATATGTGCATGGTTCCCCTCCTGCCCTAGCTAGTTTGAGAAGTACCAGTTTAGAAAGTGAAATAAATAGGCTTTGGGTATGTAAGGTGAAGAAGAAAGTTTAGTAGGACTCTAGCCAGAAGCTCAGGTGGTGGAAATAAAGATGTAAATATCTGAGAGGGAAGGTGGGGGAAGTGCTGGTCTGTAAAGGGTGGGTGATGAGTTCCTTTTTGGATTTGTTTAAGGGCCGTATGGGATCACCAAGTAAAGCAGGTGAGTAGAAGGGGCTGAAGCTCAGAAGAGGCCAGAGCTGTGGACTGGGTGTCACTGGCATGTGGGGAATCTTTATAGTCTTGGGATTAGATGTGCCTGCTCAGGGAGCAGGTATGGTGCTGGATCTAGGGCCCAGGGTGGGACTCTGGGGCATCCAGCTTTGAGGGTAGTCATAGAGGTAGTAACCAACACATCTTTGCATGGGAAAGTGCTCTGGACCTGGCTCATTCCACCGACTTTTCCATAAGAAGTCTAATAGAGTAAATCAAAGGAGAGGGAGTCCAAGTCAGGGTCTTAGGTCTCAGAAATGTATTTGTCAGTACAAAAAGTCACTCTGTGGAGTGGTGAATAGATATTTTTCTTCTAACCAGGGTGTCGACAAACTTGTTCTGTAAAGAACTGGATAGTAACTGTTTTCCGCTTTCAGGCCATATGGTCTGTGTTGCAGCTACTCAACTTTTTTTTTTTTTTTTTTTTTTTGCCGCACGCGGGCCTCTCACTCTTGTGGCCTCTCCCGTTGCGGAGCATAGGCTCCGGATGCGCAGGCTCAGCGGCCATGGCTCATGGGCCTAGCCGCTCCGCGGCATGTGGGATCTTCCCGGACCGGGGCACAAACCCGTGTCCCCTGCGTCAGCAGGCGGACTCTCAACCACTGCGCCACCAGGGAAGCCGCAGCTACTCAACTTTGCTGATGTAGTATGAAAACACTCAAAAGACAGTACCTAAAGAAGTGTGTTCCAATACAAGTTTATTTGTAAAAGCAGATGCAGGCTGTAGTTTACTGATTCCTGCTGTAACTCCACCACTTATTATCTGATCCCACTGGAAAAGTTGTCTTGCTTTGCTCCTTGACCCTTTATCTCTCTGTGGAAACTTTCGGATAGAAGCCCAGGGGTCTGCACCAGGATAGGCACTACTGTTTGTATACAGCAGCAAGGTATGCTTTGGGGTACTACAATACTTGGATGTGCCCAAGCAGAGCAGACAGGAAATGGTCATGCTGACCCATAATTTATAGGAATTATAAACAGCCCTGCATCGTCAGAATCAGCATCAGTTATAGGAGGGAAATATTGGGTCCTGGATCTGGCCAATGCTTTCAGGGGCATCTCTGTAGTACGTCTTATAGGTGGATGTTAAGTCCTACCTTCAGCAACAGAAGGCTGCATTATTTCAAGCAACTCTGACTTTATATTTCAGGTAAGATCAGCATTATAATTTAGAAAGAAGCCCAGCCTGGAAGGCAGAAGCCCTGTGTTCTAATTTTGGCCTCTGTCACTAGGGGGTCTCGGTCTCTGTCTCTGTGAGTGGTTGAATTCCATAATCATGGTCTCTTCCAACACTAGCAGGGAGGTTGGATACATTTAGTGGATTGAACACTTACAATCGGAATTTTGTTCCCAGCTCTTGTCTTCTTGAGTTTTATGTTTTGTTATCTGTGGACATATTGCATAGATTCTTCATGTTTCATTCTCCTTGTAAAGTGGGGATGGATTGCTGACTGTCATCAAGGGAATTTATATACGATGGCAGTAGAGCTCTTTCCAAACTAAGGGCATTTCAACGTCTTCAAAATCACTTCAGCATATAATATGGAACATAGGTTTTTAAAATATTGACTGCTGGTCAATTTATTGAGAGGTCTCAGAGGACCCAACTTCATGAAGAATAGCTATGAAACTGCTTTTATTTTATTTAGCTTATTGGTTATCTTGCATATTCTCACTCAATTGTTCTCTAGGCAAGTTCATCACTGTTGGCTGGGGCAGGAAGGAGACGCAGTTCCATGGATCAGAAGGCAGGCAAGCCGCCTTTCAGCTGCAGATGGTAAGCTTGGTATGATGGATAAAGAACTTTCTTTGGAACAAATGGAAGTTCTGCTTACACACCAGGAGCTCTTAGGTGTCCAGGTGTTACCAAAAGTGGGGTCCAGCTGCTCGCCACTCTAAAGCCAATAAAGAGGCAAGGTTGGTGGAAAGGAAAGTTTGCTTTATTCCGCTGGATGCCAGCAACCGGGGGCTGGGAGTGTTGGGGGTGGATTTTTGTGCAAAGGCCGACTCCCCTCCCTGACAACCAGTGGGCAAGAGCTTTTATAGGCCGAGGGAGGGGGCTATATGCAGAAACAGTACAGGCAGCTCTGAGAGTCATCTTGAAATTGGTGATGTGGGGGTCTGACCAGCATCATCTTGATTATTAAGTACAGTTAGTCTTTACTTGCAGGGTCGGCTTGCTCCCATTTCTTTGAGGCCAATTCTTGGATTTGTGGCAGCTTATGTCATGGCCACAGTCTGGTCATCATGTAGTTAACTTCTTCCACCCAGTGGGGGTTTCAGTATCTATAAGACAGTTCAAAGGATATGGCTCAGAATATTATCTATACCCCTTGAGGAGGAACTAAAAAAGTCCTTGACTGTGCTTAATGACTAAACTATTATTATGTAGTCACGTTGGACTGTTTTCCTTTGTTTCTGCATTTTCTCACTTCTCTGATTAAACTTATTGTTTGGCTAAAGGTTTTCTGCAGACAAAAGGCAGGCTGAGGGCTTCCCTGGTGGCGCAGTGGTTGGGAGTCCGCCTGCCGATGCAGGGGACACGGGTTCGTGCCCCAGTCCGGGAGGATCCCACATGCCGTGGAGCTGCTAGGTCCGTGGGCCATGGCCGCTGGTCCTGCACGTCTGGAGCCTGTGCTCCGCAACGGGAGAGGCCACAACGGTGAGAGGCCCTCGTACAGCAAAAAAAAAAAAAAAAAAAAAAAAAGGCAGGCTGAGGACATGGGGTGGAGAGGGACCATAGGGTCCTGCTCTGTTTCACAGGTAAAGCGTGTTAATGGACAGATCTCTTCTGCTCTAGTAAAACTGAAGTTGTTTAGAGACCTTAGGGAATGAGTCATCCTAGAAAGATCCTTTTTTCCTTTCTATTGCCAAGTTGTTTTGTTATTCTTTTTTTTCACATAGAGAATAATTATCACCAATATTCATTTTAAAAAATAAGTCATCACAGACAGAAATGAAACACTCTGTATCCCTTCCTGATACCCTTCCCCTTCCTCCCCAGAAGGAGCTGCTGCCCTGCATTCACTGTTGATCATTCACATGCATGTTTTTATACTTTTCCTACATATGTATATATTAGTCTTTCTTTTTCTGATTTCCCTTCCTGGATGAAACTATGTTTTCCTTCTTTCTGGATACATTTTGAAGATAGAGCTACAGGATTTATTGATAATAGATCAGATGTAGGGTAAGAGAGAGAGAGAGGAATTGAGGATAATCCCCAGATGCAGGCCAGAGCAAATGGAAGCATTTTGTCTATATTATATGTGGAAATTTCCCTGAGCTGACCTTCTAGGATAGATGAAATCATATACTGCCTGCCGTTACATTTTCCATCCTTACTTTATTTCTGGCTACATTCCGTGTAACTCATATTGTCTCCTAACCCTTCACTGGAGGAAGTTTGTGTATACCACAGGGCGATTTCATTGAGAATAAATCTTGTTAGGCTGCTGTGTATTCCCTACTGTGCAGCTTGTGGCACTAGCACCATTCCGACTTAGCCTATCACTGTAATGTGATGATGGATGTTCAGGTGGTCATTTGTCCCCAACCCCACAGAATTGGCTTCTGTCTTCAAGGCTTTCGGGACGGAGGTGCAAGTGGCACTGGAAACCTTTCTTCTTTCTGTGCTGCAGAATGCGGAGCTTGTCCGTGTTTTCATCACTGCTGCTGGCTTTATCTCCTCTGGCTCTTCCCTGCCCACCTTCCTCTCATCTTCTTAACTCCTCTGTGCAGCGTTGCGAAGTTTACTCAGTGAATGAAACTCTACCTGCTTAAATTTAGACAAACATAAATTTCCTTGTATAGTTACCTGATAGATTCCTCAGCTCGTCATTTTATTTATTTATTTTTTGCGGTACGTGGACCTTTCACTGTTGTGGCTTCTCCCGTTTGCGGAGCACAGGCTCCGGACGCGCAGGCTCAGCGGCCATGGCTTACGGGCCTAGCTGCTCCGCAGCACGTGGGATCTTCCCTGACCGGGGCACGAACCCGTGTCCCCTGCATCGGCAGGCGGACTTGCAACCGCTGCGCCACCAGGGAAGCCCTCAGCTCGTTATTTTTAATATCTAGATCTGTAGCTCTTTTTCCCCGTTGCTATGCTTGGAGGCCACTTTTTAATGCCCAGAGAAAGATTTTGTTTTGCTTTGTTAAGTTCTTTTCTCTCGACTTCTGGGTCTAAGGGCCCTTCTGGAAGGGTACCTGAGGATTCTGTGAAACTCGATTTCTAGATAGCTTAAACCTTATATAAAAGGTTTAACTTTGATAGCCTGAGGCTTGTTTGGTTCTGGGCCATTTAAGGCCCTCAGTAACATTTGTGTTTTTTCCTCTCTTTAGCACGAGTCTGCTTTGCCCTGGGATGACCATAGACCACAAGTTACCTGGCGTGGTGATGGAGAGTTTTTTGCTATGAGTCGTTTGCCCAGAGACAGGTATGGAAATAAATTTTTCTTCCTTTTGCTTTGAGAGTTTTCTTTCATTACACCCATGAGGTAACGATGTGCTGGTTTAGGTGTTAAATGAATATAGAGCTAAGAATCAGAAGAGTTCTTTGAGGCTATTTGGCCCAGCCTCCTACCTGTTGGATACGAATTTTTAACAAGATTCATCTAATTGGCTTTGTGAAACCATGACAGTTTTTATTAATAAGGAAGGTGTTTGGAAGTTCGGACTTGACAACATTTATCACAATGCTTTAAGTTTTGCCATTGTTGTTTTTCTCCCTCTATCTACTACACAGGGGCTCGAAAGTTCAGAGTGTGAGGCCGGGAGTTTGCTTTACAGTCAGCCAGTGAGCCTGTGGCAGGAGTGGGACCTGCTCTGGCTCGGAAGTGAGTGGGAGAAGAAACCTTGTAACTTCTTCCCAGAGAATTTCTTGGTACTAGGGTGGGAGTGGTGGTACCTATTGAATGTAGGTGTTTATAAAACACAAAGAGATAATTACTTTTTCTCATTTGGCTGTAAGCCTGTATCTTTCTTTTTTAGTTCCATGAAGTCTGAATGTGGTTTGAATAGTAGATTCTGAGCTTCACAGACCTCATCATTCCAAGGCCCACACGTTTTGTAGGTTATCGGCAGGGCCTACATGAAGCCACCGTGTAAAACAGAAAGTGGTGCTTAGAAGGAAAGTTGCAGTCTGTGAATTTCTGTGGGGCAGCAGAGCTTTGGTGAAAATTAGGAAAGGGCTTCCTTTCTCTGCACAAACTCCCACACTAAGGGGACCTGTTTGCTGAGGAACACGCAGGCTGGATTTGGGCCCGATTCACCTGTTGGCCTAGTACCATTGTGCAGGTCACAACCTGCTTGTGATATATGGCTGTCCTGATTATAGATAGAAGAAATATTTCCTGCCTCAGTAGCATCTGTTACAGGCAAAACCTAGGTCTCTAGGTTTTAGACATCTGTTTCCCACCAATATTTGAGTGGCAATTGGATGACAGAGCAAAGAGAGAAATGTATTTGAATTAAAACTAGAGACAAATGTAAACAATATGGGGCGATCAAGGTGTTTTCAGTAGATTGAGAAGTCTTTAAAAATACCTACCTGAGTTGCTGAAGTCATATAATTGAAGAAATAGTTCATGGTTTTATAGGACATTATACTGGGAATGGTTTAAATAATTTATTGGTTCTTTTAAAAAGTCACCCAAGTGCAGTCTAAATCTGTGAGTCTTTGTGGGCAGATAGAGCCCTTGTGCAAATCAGGAAAAGGCACTACGTCCTCTGGGCAGATACAGTCCCACACTAGGGTGACTGCTTGCCAGGAAACATGGGATTTAAAACTTCCTTGGATGGAGGCTTTTTGTTTTTGCTGAAAGAATTGTTTCTCTGAATTTCATCTTGTGCTTAGCCAGCTGGATGAGCTTTTGGATGCTCTGACACTCTGGGTTTGCTTTAAGGCCCTCAGGCAGTTTGATTGCATCTATGCAAGATAAACCCAATCAGCAGGATGTTGTGTTTTTTGAGAAAAATGGACTTCTCCATGGACATTTTACACTTCCTTTCCTCAAAGATGAGGTTAAGGTAGGTGCCTGAGTTGTTTTACCATCACATTTAGAGGACTTTCCACAGCTATAGAGAAGATTTGTATTTGATATGGCTATGTAAATAGAAGCCCCAGAGTAGACAGTAATAAAAATAGTGGCTTCCTATGACTGAATTTTTTTTACACACCAAATTGTTTTTATTAAGGAGATTTTGCAGGGAAGAAATAGCATTCCTTCCTCACCCTAGATAAAACACAGAAAGGAAATAAAAATGTCAGTTTTTATTGTTCATTTTGAGAAAAGCATAATTCTTCCAGTGATAAAGATACTTGTCATTTTTAACATTTAAACCTTAAGGAGGTTGTGTACCATTTGGATCTTTGCTGGAGCAGAAACAAATCATGGTAATTTTTAATTGTGTGAAAATTTAAATATATTAAAAGTTGAGAGAAGAGCTTAATGAACTCCCATGTACCTATTACTTACTTTCAACAGATATATACCAGCATTTTGCAAAATTATTTTCATCTATTCTTCACTCTCTGGCGCACCCACACACGCACACACACACACACACACACACACCCACACACACACACACACTCTTTGTAAAAATTTCCTAGGGTTTCAATTTTAAAAATCATATTTTCAATATTCATTTCTCTAACAGTTGAGAACATTTTTCTTTATATAAGCACAATTCCATTATCACACCTTATAAAATTAGTAATAATTCCTTAATATTACCTAATACCTCATCCATATTCAAATTTCCCTGATTGTCTAAAAATGTCACCTTCATTTGGTTAAGTATTTAAACATAATGCATTTTTTTTGAAGTCCTCTACATATGATGACAGAGATTTGTTTAATAACTCCATAGGTTAGTAATTTACAGCTAGGAATCAACTCAAGTGTGGGATTATTTGACTTGTGAGAGCAGGGAATTTAGCTATCATAAAGATTTTGAGGTAAATACGTAAAGGCCAGTGACAGGTCTTTTTTCCCTACTAGGTTAATGACCTTCTCTGGAATGCAGATTCCACCGTGCTTGCAGTATGGCTGGAAGACCTTCAGAGGGAAGAAAATTCCACTCTAAAAACCTATGGTAAGACAGCTCTAGTATCTCAGCCTTCTGCCCCATAAAATGTAATTGAAAGTAGTAGGCCGTGGAGTTTCCTTTATCCCTTTCACTTAGTCCTATAATGGAATCAAAGATAACTGAGGGGGGTAGGTAGAGATGAGGGAGTGGTTAGCTTTTGATGGGAGGGATTTCAGTTATGTATCAGGCAGGGTATCTAGAGAAATAGAATCAGGGTAAGCTGGCTGGTTGGAAATTCAGTGAAGAGTTGATGTTGTAATCTTGAGTCCAAAATCTGTGGGACAGGCCCACAGTCTGGAAACTTGGACAAGATTCTGTGTTACAGTCTTGAGACAAAATTCCTTTTTCTCTGGGAAGCCTTAGTTTTTGCTCTTAAGACTCTATAAACTCTTTGGATGAGATCTATCCACATTATGGAGGATAGTCTGCTGTACTTAAAGTCACCTGATTATAAAGGTTAATCACATCTGCAGAATTCCTTCCCAGCAACATCTAGACTGGTGTTTGACCAAACAACTAGACACCATAGCCTAGCCAAGTTGACATGTAAATTAACCATCACAAGTCATCAGTGCTTTCTCTTCATGGATGGTACCAGTGTAGCAAATCAAAATGCTAGCCAAAGGAATACTGTGGAAGTGAAAGAGAAATGAGATTAGATATAAGTAAGAATCTTCTGTAGCTTTTAAATGGTAAATCAAATTGTAAATAAGTATTTTTCAGTGTATATGTAATATGTGAAAGCATTAGAAAATAAAGATGGGAAGAAAAAAAGTTCTTCCGTAATTCTGTCACTCAGTAATAATCACTATTTAAATTTTCTTGTCTTCCTGATTTTATGTATACATCTCAGTATAGCTGTGATCTCATTTTTGTTAAATATGTAGGTATGATACCTGCAGTTTTGTAACTTGCTTTTACAGTGTGTCACAAACTATTTCCATTTCAGATATCTATCTGTATCATTTTAACTTGCTGTATATTCATTTATGCTACAGTTTATTAAATCTTATGTTGTTAGACGTTTAAAGTTTTGTAATTTTTCACTGTCATCAATAGTGCACTGAACATTTTTTTCATAAATCTTTCATTTACTTGATTATTTTCTGAGTGGCTTTCAAACGTTTTAATCAATAGAACTAACTGAAATGTTATTAAGAAGCTCATTCATTCATTTATTCATTCAACACAATAGTTCTCAACCCTGGCTGCAACTTTAGAAAAAAAAAATGCTATCCATGTCTTATCTCAGAGTTGCTCTCAGTGCGTTATAATGGGGACTATACATCAGTATTAATTAAAAAAAAAAGCTTCCAGGTGATTTTTTTTTTTGTAAACACTGACATTTATTTATTTATTTATAATTTTATTTATTTATTTATTTATGGCTGCATTGGGTCTTCGTTGCTGTGTGCGGACTGTCTCTAGTTGCGGCGAGCGAGGGCTACTCTTCGTTGCGGTGCGCGGGCTTCTCATTGGGTTGGCTTCTCTTGTGGAGCACGGGCTTTAGGTGCACAGGCTTCAGTAGTTGTGGCTCGCAGGCTCTAGAGCACAGGCTCAGTAGTTGTGGCGTACAGGCTTAGTTGCTCCACGATGTGTGGGATCTTCCCAGACCAGGGCTCGAACCCATGTCCCCTGAATTGGCAGGCAGATTCTTAACCACTGCGCCACCAGGAAAGTCCCCAGGTGATTTTTTAAATGTGTAGCCAGAGTTGAGAACCACTGACTAACCAGGTGTTAATGGCTGGCCCTGTGATGTGCTCAGGATAAAAGTGTTGCTGCAAGAACAGCCACAACATCTGTCTTCACAGAGGATGAGCATGTAGTCTAACTTAACCCAAAGCTAGGTCAAAGTATTGTAGTAGCCTTGTTCTAGAACTAGGTTGGATTTGCTGTGACTGCTGAGTTAAGAATTAGTGATCAGGGAGATGTTTAAAGAAAAGAAATTCCTTAATATAATTAAAATCTTCATTTATGTGTGTCACCTGTTTAACAAAGGTTGGCTTTGACATGATTAGGTCTTTTTTTCCCAGGTTTATTGAGATATAATTGACATGCAACGTGTACATTCAGGAGGTACAATGTGATGATTTGATACATGCATATACTGTGAAATGTTTGCCACAGTAAGGTTGATTAACTCATCCTTCACTTCACATAATTACCATTTTTGTTGTTATGGTGAGAACTTTATTTTGGCTGCGTTGGGTCTTCGTTGTTGCGTGTGGGCTTTCTCTAGTTGCGGCGAGCGGGGGCTATTCTTCCTTGCTGTGCGCGGGCTTCTCATTGCAGTGGCTTCTCTTGTTGTGGAGCATGGGCTCTAGGCACGCGGGCTTTGGTAGTTGTGGCACACGGGCTCAGTAGTTGTGGCTTTTGGGCTCTAGAGCACAGGCTCAGTAGTTGTGGCACACGGGCTTAGTTGCTCCGTGGCATGTGGGATCTTCCCGGACCAGGGCTCGAACCCATGTCCCCTGCATTGGCAGGCGGATTCTTAACCATTGCACCACCAGGGAAGCCCGGTGAGAACATTTTAAATCTACTCTCGTAGCAACTTTCAAGTATACAATACAGTATTGTTAACTGTAGTCACCACGCTATACATTAGATCTCTGGAACTTGTAACTGAAGGTTTGTACTCTTTGACCAACTTCTTTCTGTTTCCTACACTCTACAGGTCTTGGTCTTGTTCTTTTAAGGGTAATTGCATGCTGATCTCCCTTGGACATAACTGCATGCAAAACACCTGGAAGAAAATAATAAGCATCTTAAGCGTAATACAATATAGTGATGCTAGTCTAGTGCTCTTGGATTGGGTGTTTTAATACTTTTAATCTAATTGCCAAGTTTTCTTCTTTCTAAGTCTTTATGGGAAAAAAAACAACTCACTAAAGCACTGTCCTATGGTAGGAGCCTTCCATCATCATGATCATGAAGGTTTGAAGGTAGAGGCAGAAATGAACACGTGTGCTTCTGACCTTGTTGATGCTTAATATTTTGTCCTCATGAAAAGCTATACTTTAACAATTATTGTTAATATTATTATCTTAATGAAGAGGCTGAGCAGAAAGGGTCATTTGAAAAAGAAAAAGGTGTCCTCATCCCTCTCTAGCAAGTGGTACGAAGTCTGGTCCTCTGGCCCCTGCCTCTGATGGCCTCCTTTTCATTTTCCCCTGCAGTTCAGCTCTGGACTGTTGGAAACTATCACTGGTATCTCAAGCAAAGCCTGCCCTTCGGCACCTGTGGGAAGAGCGAGATTGTGTCCCTGATGTGGGGCCCAGTGACCCCATACCAGCTGTATGTTCTCTGTCAAGGCTGGCATTACCTCTGCTATGACTGGCACTGGACGACTGACCGGAGCTCAGGAGATAATTTAAGTGACATGGCAAATGTGGCTGTTGTTGATGGAAGTAAGGAGCTGAAAAGTGTGTCCATGGGCCTGCAAGGGGCCTGAGCCAGGAGCCTGCAGATGTGGTAGTTTGACTTAAACAGTGCAGGATTTTTATTTGATTGATTATTCTGGTTGTTTGGTTTGTTTTTACTTGCTTTGGTTTCGATTGGATGGGAACACCCTTAGGTGAGGCGTGTACTCCCCTGAGGACCATAGTCTCTCCTCTCCCCCCCCCCACATCCCTCAACTCCCTTTTCTACTACAACCATGGCCTTTACATATTTACTTGTCTGGGCTTTGAAGACATTGACATTTCTGACCCTGGGTGGAGAGGAAGACAACAGTAGGCTTGTGGCATTGGTGTGTCAGCCTTGTCTTTGTGCCCTGACAAAGCGTTCTGTTGACTCTCACACCACTCCATTGTGTTGCTTTGTTTTTTGATATAATGCTTGCTAATTATGTACATGTCCAGTATCTTCAGTTCAAGTCACAGACATCTGCCTAGTACTCGGATTGGATTGGTGTTTTTTAATTAGGTTGAGGGCTTTTGTTTAGTGAGGGGAAAGAAACTAGGGAAAGTCAGTCTTTCCTGAATAGACAGTTTATTTATTGCTGATGACATAAAGGAAAACTTGCTTCTAAGATTGTAATGTGAGTTGGTGTACTAATTTATGTTCTATGTAGTGATCATAATACTGATTTTACAATCATATGTTCTGTATAGAGGACTTAAGCACATATGCCTTATTACCAGATCCATGTACAGGGAAGTGCTTTAAGGATTTTGGTTTATTCTGGCTTGGTTGCAGGCCCAGGTTTAAAGCTAGAACTCTGACCTTTTGGCCTGCTTGCCGTAGTCCCTGGCACCTGAAACTCCAAGCCCCGTGATGGACTGCTATAGGCCTGGAGGTGACAGTAGCCAGATATAGACAGATCTCTGACACTAACTTTCCTCCTCTACACTGTATTTAAGCTTATTCATGATAAAAACACCAACAATTACTTTTAAGAATCGCTGTATATTTTCTCCCACCATTATTAGTTAGTGGTACTGTGCTGTTCAGTTGCCTTGTTTTACAAATTGAACATCCATGTGTCTAATCCTCTTTCTCTCTCGCATGCAGACAGGATATTGGTGACAGTCTTCTGGCAGAGTGTGGTTCCACCTCCCATGTGCACCTACCGACTGCTGCTCCCACACCCTGTAGCTCAAATCATGTTCTCCACACACCCTAAAAAGAGTAACGACCTCGCTGTCCTAAATGCCAGTAACCAGATTTTTGTTTATAAATGTGGTATGTTCAAAAACTGTTATCAAGATGTTCTGAATCAAATCTCTCCTACACAAAAGCAAACTATAGTTTGGTGTTGCGTTGGCTCTAGGGCTTCGAAAAATTTTGAAGTTTATAATTAATATCATTATTACTGTGATGTTTAATTGACTTGTAGGGTTTTTTGTGTGTTTGTGTGGGGGGCTTCAATCCTACTCTGGCTAATAAGAACAATTCTTTTTGCTTTGTTGAACTTGAAGGGTTAGTTATTTAAGAATAATTCTCAATCCTAGAAAGAACGTAGTATCTCATTACATCCTTAACATGTTTTACAGTTTTCATTGCCATTGCACATATTTTCAGTTGATCTCACAGCTTTCCTAGGAGCTATGTCAGAGGTGGAGTTTTTCTGTTTTATAGATGAGGAAACAGAATGCCAGAGGGTTTGCAGTCTGCTTGAGCAAGAAAGGACAAGGACCTCTACTTAGGTGTTTTAGCGTCTAATCTAGTTGTCCTTCCACAGTCCTGTTGCTCGCAGTTTCTAGTTGCTTTCCTGATGTACTTGGAGAACCTGTAATTTGTGAATTCTATGGTTGTATCGTAAGTTATACTGGCACATGGCAGTGGTAGCCTTGTTTTCAAATAAGTTTTGAATTCTCAGCCTGAAAGGTAGGCAGAAATTTAAGAAAGAGGTTGAGATGTGGTTATTTTCTAGATTGCTTTATTTGTAAAGTGGATTACCTTCTAGAACCCATTAAATGCAGGACCCCATATCCGTGGTATCAGGAAAAATGTTTGTAGCTTACCATGATAGTATTTGCATCTTTTCCCCCTAGGTGATAGTCCAAGTGTAGACTCTACGGTGAAACTGGGAGCTGTGGGTGGAAATGGATTTAACATTTCTCTTAGAACACTTCATCAGGACAAGAGATACACGTAGGTTGTTCTTAGTTGCCTTGGAACTCTGGGCACAGAAGCAGCCAGCATTTAGTCCTAAATTCAGCCAACTGTTATTATCTTATCCTGTGCCTGTTGCTCAGTGGAACAAGAAGTAGATACAACACCTGGGCCCTGGTTTTTCAGCCTGGTTGGGGAAGTCAGTTACCTATATATCTGAATGTCATATATGCTGATGGGCGGCAATGGAGCATAAGTCTTAAGCTGACTTAGAACCCATTCCCCCACCATCCCTCGGGGGTTTTCAACAGGGAATATCCCGTGGGAAAGATGGAGATGCAGATGATAGAGCACAGTGCATTTGCCTACACAGATGAGGATACGTACATTGTTAATGTGCGGCTGACCTAATGCAGTCTCTAGTTTGTCTCATCCTACAGTGCAGAACTTTTGGCTGCTGTGTTTCGAGGCTCTCAGGTTGGAAATCAGAATTCATTTTCCTATGGAAACGATAGTATGAACAGTTGGATATAATTGAATACCTCAGGTACATTATAGGCATTGTAAAATGACCCAGAAGCCAAATTATTAATTATAAGTCCATTTCTGTGAGAATCCAGAATTTGATTCTGTTCTGTTTAATGAGCCCATGTTCTTTTTTTTTTTTTTTACTTTCCACTTTATAACAAAGTGAACCAGCTATACATATACATATATCCCCATATCTCTTCCCTCTTGCGTCTCCGTCCCTCCCACCCTCCCTATCCCACCCATCTAGGTGGTCACAAAGCACCGAGCTGATCTCCCTGTTCTGTGCGACTGCTTCCCACTAGCTACTGATTTTACATTTGGTACTATATATATGTACATGCAACTCTCTCACTTTGTCCCAGCTTACCATTCCGCCTCCCTGTGTCCTCAAGTCCATTTGCTAGTAGGTCTGCATCTTTATTCCCGTCCTGCCCCTAGGTTCTTCATGATCATTTTTTTTAGATTCCATATATATGTGTTAGCATTCGGTACTTGCTTTTCTCTTTATGACTTACTTCACTCTGTATGACAGACTCTAGGTCCATCCACCTCACTACGTATAACACAATTTCGTTCCTTTTTATGGCTGAGTAATATTCCATTGTATATATGTGCCACATCTTCTCTATCCATTCATCTGTCGATGGACACTTAGATTGCTTCCATTTCTGTCCTGGCTATTGTAAATACAGCTGCAATGAACATTATGGTACATGACTCTTCTTGAATTATGGTTTTCTCAGGGTATATGCCCAGTAGTGGCATTGCTGGGTCGTATGGCAGTTCTATTTTTAGTTTTTGAAAGGACCTCCATACTGTTGTCCATAGTGGCTGTATCAATTTATATTCCCACCAACAGTGCAAGAGGGTTCCATTTTCTCCACACCCTCTCCAGCATTTATTGTTCGTAGATTTTTTGATGATGGCCATTCTGACTGGTGTGAGGCGATACCTCATTGTGGTTTTGATTTGCATTTCTCTAATGATTAATGATGTTGAGCATTCTTTCATGTATTTGTTGGCAATCTGTGTATCTTCTTTGGAGAAATGTCTATGTAGGTCTTCTACGCATTTTTGGATTGGGTTGTTTTTTTCTTGTTATTGAGCTGCATGAGCTGCTTGTAAATTTTGGAGATTAATCCTATGTCAGTTGCTTCATTTGCAAATACTTTCTCATATTCTGAGGGTTGTCTTTTGCTCTTGTTTATGGTTTCCTTTGCTGTGCAAAAGTTTTTAAGTTCCATTAGGTCCCATTTATTTATTTTTGTTTTTATTTCCACTCCTCTACGAGGTGGGTCAAAAAGGATCTTGCTGTGATTTAGGTCATAGTGTGTTCTGCCTATGTTTTCCTCTAAGAGTTTGATAGTGTCTGGCCTTCCATTTAGGTCTTTAATCCATTTTGAGTTTTTTTGTACGTATGGTGTTAGGGAATGTTCTAATTTCATTCTTTTACATGTAGCTGTCCAGTTTTCCCAGCAGCACTTATTGAAGAGGCTCTCTTTTCTCCACTATATATTGTTGCCTCCTGTATCAAAGATAAGGTGACCATATGTGCGTGGGTTTATCTCTGGACTTTCTATCCTGTTCCATTGTCTATATTTCTGTTTTTGTGCCAGTACCATACTCTCTTGATTACTGTAGCTTTGTAGTATAGTCTGAAAACTGGGAGCCTGATTCCTCCAGCTCCGTTTATCGTTCTCAAGATTGCTTTGGCTGTTCGGGGTTTTTTGTGTTTCCATACAAATTGTGAAATTTTTTGTTCTAGTGCTGTGAAAAATGCCATTGGTAGTTTGATGGGGATTACATTGAATCTGTAGATTGCTTTGAGTAGTATAGTCATTTCACAATGTTGGTTCTTCCAATCCAAGAACATGGTATATCTCTCCATCTATTTGTACCATCTTTAATTTTTTTCATCAGTGTCTTATAATTTTCTACATACAGGTCTTTTGTCTCCTTAGGTAGGTTTATTCCTGGATATTTTATTGTTTTTGTTGCAATGGTAAATGGGAGTGTTTTCTTAATTTCACTTTCAGATTATTCATCCTCAGTGTATAGGAATGCAAGAGATATCTGTGCATTAATTTTGTATCTTTCTCATTTACCAAATTCATTGATTAGCTCTAGTAGTTTTCTGGTAGCATCTTTAGGATTCTCTCTGTATAGTATCATGTCATCTGCAAACAGAGACAGCTTTACTTCTTCTTTCCCAACTTGGATTCCTTTTATTTCTTTTTCTTCTCCAATTGCTGTGGCTAAAACTTCCAAAACTATTTTGAATAATCCTGGTGAGTGTGGGCAACATTATCTTGTTGTTGATCTTAGCGGAAAAGGTTTCAGTTTTTCACCATTGAGGACGATGTTGGCTGTGGGCTTGTCATATATGGCCTTTATTATCTTGAGGTGAGTTCCCTCTGTGCCTGATTTCTGGAGGTTTTGTATCATAAGTGGGTGTTGAATTTTGTCAAAAGCTTTCTCTGCATCTATGAGATGATCATATGGTGTTTCTCCTTCAGTTTGTTAATATGGGGTATCCCACTGATTGATTTGCGTATATTGACGAATCCTTGCATTCCTGGAGTAAACCCCACTTGATCATATTGCATGATCATTTTAATGTGCTGTTGGATTCTGTTTGTTAGTATTTTGTTGAGGATTTTTGAATCTATGTTCATCAGGGTTATTGGCCTGTAGTTTTCTTTCTTTGTGACATATTTGTCTGGTTTTGATATAAGGGTGATGGTGGCCTCGTAGAAAGAGTTTCAGAGTGTTCCTCCCTCTGCTATATTTTGGAAGAGTTTGAGAAGGATAGGTGTTAGCTCTTCTCTAAACGGTTGATAGGATTCGCCTGTGAAGCCATCTGGTCCTGGGCTTTTGTTTCTTGGAAGATTTTTAATCACAGTTTTGAGTGCTTATGATGGGACTGTTCATATAATCTATTTCTTCCTGGTTCAGTTTTGGAAGGTTGTGCATTTCTACGAATTTGTCCATTTCTTCCAGGTTGTCCATTTTATTGGCATAGAGTTGCTTGTAGTAATCTCTCATGATCCTTTGTATACCTGCAGTGTCAGTTGTTACTTCTCCTTTTCCATTTCTTTTTTTTTTTTAACATCTTTATTGGGGTATAATTGCTTTACAATGGTGTGTTAGTTTCTGCTTATTAACAAGGTGAATCAGTTATACATATACATATGTTCCCATAGGTCTTCCCTCTTGCATCTCCCTCCCTCCCACCCTCCCTATCCCACCCCTCCAGGCTGTCACAAAGCACCGAGCCAATATCCCTGTGCCATGCGGCTGCTTCCCACTAACTATCTACCTTAATACGTTTGTTAGTGTGTATATGTCCATGACTCTCTCTCGCCCTGTTGCAGCTCACCCTTCGCCCTCCCCATATCCTCAAGTCCGTTCTCTGGTAGGTCTACATCTTTATTCCTGTCTTACCCCTAGGTTCTTCATGACATTTTTCTTTCTTAAATTCCATATATATGTGTTAGCATACGGTATTTGTCTTTCTCTTTCTGACTTACTTCACTCTGTATCACAGACTCTAGGTCTATCCACCTCATTACAAATAGCTCAATTTCGTTTCTTATTATGGCTGAGTAATATTCCATTGTATATATGTGCCACATCTTCTTTATGCATCCATCCGATGATGGGCACTTTAGGTTGTTTCCATCTCCGGGCTATTGTAAATAGAGCTGCAATGAACATTTTGGTACATGACTCTTTTTGAATTTTGGTTTTCTCAGGGTATATGCCCAGTAGTGGGATTGCTGGGTCATATGGTAGTTCTATTTGTAGTTTTTAAGGAACCTCCATACTGTTCTCCATAGTGGCTGAACCAATTCACATTCCCACCAGCAGTGCAAGAGTGTTCCCTTTTCTCCACACCCTCTCCAGCATTTATTGTTTCTAGATTTTTTGATGATGGCCATTCTGACTGGTGTGAGATGATATCTCATTGTAGTTTTGATTTGCATTTCTCTAATGATTAATGATGTTGAGCATTCTTTCATGTGTTTGTTGGCAGTCTGTATATCTTCTTTGGAGAAATGTCTATTTAGGTCTTCTGCCCATTTTTGAATTGGGTTGTTTGTTTTTTTGTTATTGAGCTGCATGAGCTTCTTGTAAATTTTGGAGATTAATCCTTGGTCAGTTGCTTCATTTGCAAATATTTTCTCCCATTCTGAGGCTTGTCTTTTGGTCTTGTTTATGGTTTCCTTTGCTGTACAAAAGCTTTGAAGTTTCATTAGGTCCCATTTGTTTATTTTTGTTTTTATTTCCATTCCTCTAGGAGGTGGGTCAGAAAGGATCTTGCTGTGATTTATGTCATAGAGTGTTCTGCCTATGTTTTCCTCTAAGAGTTTGATAGTTTCTGGCCTTACATATAGGTCTTTAATCCATTTTGAGCTTACTTTTGTGTATGGTGTTAGGGAGTGATCTAATCTCATACTTTTACATGTAGCTGTCCAGTTTTCCCAGCACCACTTATTGAAGAGGCTGTCCTTTCTCCACGGTACATTCCTGCCACCTTTATCAAAGATAAGGTGTCCATATGTGCATGGGTTTATCTCTGGGCTTTCTATCCTGTTCCATTGATCTATCTTTCTGTTTTTGTGCCAGTACCATACTGTCTTGATTACTGTAGCTTTGTAGTATAGTCTGAAGTCAGGGAGCCTGATTCCTCCAGCTCCTTTTTTCGTTCTCAAGATTGCTTTGGCTATTCGGGGTCTTTTGTGTTTCCATACAAATTGCGAAATTTTTTGTTCTGGTTCTGTGAAAAATGCCAGTGGTAGTTTGATAGGGATTGCATTGAATCTATAGATTGCTTTGGGTAGTAGAGTCATTTTCACAATGTTGATTCTTCCAATCCAAGAACATGGTATATCTCTCCATCTATTTGTATCATCTTTAATTTCTTTCATCAGCGTCTTATAATTTTCTGCATACAGGTCTTTTGTCTCCTTAGGTAGGTTTATTCCTAGATATTTTTTCTTTTTGTTGCAATGGTAAATGGGAGTGTTTTCTTGATTTTACTTTCAGATTTTTCATCATTAGTATATAGGAATGCCAGAGATTTCTGTGCATTAATTTTGTATCCTGCCACTTTACCAAATTCATTGATTAGCTCTACTAGTTTTCTGGTAGCATCTTTAGGATTCTCTATGTATAGGATCATGTCAACTGCAAACAGTGAC